ATATTTAATTCGCTCAGAATTAATGATCTCTAAATTGAACAAATTGTTAAATCATTTTTACATTTTTGAAAAACAGAGCATATTGATATATTTTTTTTTATTATGCCAAAACTCATCTCAAATCTGAATTTTATCTCTTTCAACTAAAAATGCCTCATTAAGAAAAGTTATTATCGAATTCGCATGATTATTAATCTGACCAAATGACAATTTTTATTCTTTCACATAAAAAACTTTTTATAATCTAATCTCTTAAGTTCAATTAGGATCCAGTTTGTAATAAAAACATTTAATTGAAATGTTTACGAAGATCAGTGACATAATGATTTTTTATTACATCCATTGGAATCCAATCCAACATATGTTAAAAAATTGTTAATTATTATTTATATGTTTATGAAAATTTAGATCAGTGGTGTAAGGTTTTATTAAAAATTTTGATTTTGTGAACGAAGTTGACACCTGTTGACGAAGAAAATCCCACGACGACCGATTGTCGAACAATCGATGAGAACGAGAACGAGGATTAGTTATGATTACGCATATCGCACGCGCGGTAACCGATTTTCTATTATCGAGATACAATTGCGGGTTACCTGGGTAATAGTTTCCTGGGTACTTTCGGTGATACTCAGTATACGTGAACCGCACAACCTTCACATCTACGTGGAGGGTGGCTTATCGTACCGGCGAGCGATCACGCACAAAGTAAAAGCGAGCTCAATTGTTCGTTACGTGTCTGATTGAACTACCAACGCGACCGAGATTGGGCCTGGCATTATCTCCAGTGACATCCTCCCGAAATTCGCGTACGTCGGAGTCTCCAATTGGTTATTGAGCTCTATTCGAATGACGATTATGGCGCACAATTGATTGCCGGGGTGTGCGTGACTAGCATGTCGTGAAAAATGACTTGATATCGATGCTACATATCGACTTTTTATTATTAGCGATTATTTAATACTTTCACATGAGTATAGCGTGCGTCGTATACTCATGCGAAAGCTTAATTTACTATTACGAGGTGTTCGTTTAAGAAATATCTTTGTTTTACATCTATTAATATCCCTATATTCTTTCTCCGCTTTTGTCATTAATGATCTAATGAAAATTACTTGTATCATTACAATGTAAAATTATCTTAACATTTTCGTTACAATTTTTATGATTCCACTACGATTTGTCCTTTACTTTTGTAATTCTTATAGAAAAAAATGATCATCTTATAATAGAGTAAAATAATAAGGTCGTAATAAAATGATCTTACGTTTTTTTTATTTTGACATACGCATTAAAAAGTGTATTTCGAAAAACTGTAATGCTATAATATTATACATTGTAAATTCTTTTAAAAAATGTGACTCGGTAGGTGACTCGGTATTACATTAAATTCAATCGTATAATTAAATTAAATCTCATTGATCCACTAATGAAATTTTAAACTGCTAAACTTCTACACAAAAATATACTAATTTTGTATAAATGTTGACTTTTCTGAAGAGAAGCTCCATTATGATGATACAAAAGTGATTTGAAATTTTGAACATTTAAAATATTTCAAAAATAGAAATATATCACCAGCGTCTCTTTCTAGATATTAAGACGCATATTTTACGAACAATATCTCACTCATGAAAATTTTATAATAAACCAAAGGTACAAGAGTCCTCTACATCATCGGCCGCGAAGATGGCGTAATGCGCCTGCAGAATCGATTCTTAATCGGTTGTATTGTTTATAGAGGCTTTATAAAGGATGATCACTCATTAATATTACATGTAACACGCGAATACAGTCTGACCCGAAGATTAAATCAATGGTACGTCAGTCGATGTCTCTGAAGTGACCTCCGGGTTATTCGATGTGATAGGAAGGAACACGTGTAACTAATTTTACAACATAATTATATATCGTTTAATTTGCAATTCGGTGAGAATTTTCTTGCATAATGACATCGAGTTCCGTTGCTAGGCAGTTTGCTGAAAATCGCACTTATTGTCCTCGAATGTGGGAGAAATCCGATTAAATTTCACATAGATCCGAAATGATGCAACTGTCATATCTAACTTAAACTAATCTGTCCTAGTAAAAAAAAAAAAAAACAAAATAAATGTAAAATTATACTATTGCACTGATCGTATATATATCTTATTAATCGTTATGTTTATCCAGTTTCTTCGCGAAGTTTCTAGACGAACGTACCGTTCGAAAATCGGCTGGTACCAGATATACTTACCTAAGAATCGGCGATTTATTCACTTTTATTTTTTCACGCGCGCATCAAATCATAGGTTTCCTTTTGGATTCGCGATAACGCGTTTGAGAATAACGCCATAATCGTGCGAGAAGATATAGCGATCGCAGTTTGTTTGCGTTCCTCCCACTAGCGAGCATCCTGTTGTCTATATGTATACAATCGCGTATTGCTTGTATAAAAATCGCGCAATTGTGCATTACAATTGCACACAACTGTTGCGGAGACGTCGCGACTGCAAGAACATTTCGGATCACTTCACCCGACGAGACGGTGTCTTTTACCCTGACCGATACCTCCGGCGGCGGCGGCGACGACGACGACGACGACGACGACGACATCGATTCCTCGAAGCGAGATTTCGATGTGATCGTGACGTAGTCGTGGCAAGAGGAGCGGAGAGGACAATTTGTGGTAGGGACCTCAAACTAGTTGTTTTGATCTCTTTCGACGAACATATCGCGAAGTCTTCCTGCCGTAGTAACACGGTTGACGTCAACGTGGCTACGTGTCTCTCGTTTCCTTCGGCTATTCGAGTCTTCCTTGTCCATCCAAATCCCATACTTCTTCCCATTCACATGTCCGTCGTGGAGACACCCGCCATGCCGCAGCTGTCACGCTCTTGATTACGTTACCAGAGATATTCGTTGCGCGGAAAACCGATATTCGGATCTCTGAAAATCTTTTGCGCTTTCTTCAAAATCTGAAGCATCGCTATCCAACGGGACGGTATTTACGGACGATAATAAAATTCAAGAAAATATTTGATTTTGCCCGAAGGCTTCATTACCGTAGTCGCGGAAACGTTACTTTGCGAAAATTTACAGAGGACTATCATTAACCGAGGAGAGAGATAGTTCCCACGCTCTCGGCGCAAGGAATCCACTACGAGAATAGATGAGCAACATCCCTTCCTCGAAGAGGAATTCGAAGGTTCACAGGGTGAGTTTCGTTGGTCTCCAGATTTACATGTCATTACAGTTCCGAAAAGTGCTGTGCGAGAACTCTTACTTCTTACGAACTTCTCCAAAGAAATCTACGTCTTTCTTTTAATTATAATAACTGTATAATTTTAGCACGGTGATTGCCAATTAGACAACTTCATTTTCAAAGTTATTTTTATATCAGTATGTTTTGTTTTAATATGATTTTTAATTACATTTATATTCTTCATTAAACAATTCAGAGTAAAATTCTTATTTTCTCCTAAAAATAATCCAAACAGCGAACAGCTTAGCATCCATCTATAGATCGCTAACTATGAGGTGATTCGTATTTGGTAGATGACGTGTTAAATTATTCAAATAATAATAATATTAGGTGTTGGAATTAATTCGTAGCGTTTTTAATGAAAGAATGTTATTTATTTCACATGAGCATTAAAAAATACATTAATTAAAGTACTTCCCATCACTTGTAAAACGCTACGAATTAATTCCAACACCTAATACTAAAATGAATGAACAGATTGTGTAAAATGTGACGAAATGCGTTAACAACGCGCTATTCGCGTTCACAGAAATGTTACATTCGGCGATTCGTTCTCGCCAATACGGAAGGATTATATCTTTTTCTACTCCTTACTACCGAGAAAAGATCGAGGTTTCGCGGAGATTGAATTTCAGTATGTACATCTGAGACGCTCTTTTTCGATAAATTTGATAACAATTTTTAGGAAGTATTTATTAATCAAGATATATTTTAATGAGCGTTTGGGGACGCATTTATTTAAGTGATAAACCGTTTCGTTTTTCTTGTCTTGCAAGACCAGGCAGAACCCGTTCAATTATAGTTCCGTTGATTAATATTGTATCACACTAATTTTTCTAATTCTTTTCCTCATTATTTATATATTTTTATCATTTTATATTTTTTTGATCCTATATATGTATATAGAGCGTCTCGAATGTCGAATTAAGTAATTTCTTTAACTGATACTACAGATTCAATCAGAATCATATTGATTAAGATTGTTGAAGCATCACACTTAAATAGTTTTGTTATTAAATATGAAGCTTGGACGTCAAAGGAAAATTTCAACTGAATACATAATCAATTTAACATTAAAGAATCCTTGGATTGCTTTCAATTACAACATTCGCATGTAAAAATTCTTTTCTTGAGATTTCTTTCATCTTATATTATAATACATAATATATTATATGTATAATATAGAATTTTATATATCATTATACATATATATACACACACACACACATATATATGTGTACACAACACACATATATAATCGACTATAAATAAGAATACATATAAGATAGAAGAATGTCAAAATAAATTATATATATATTATCTAAATTATATTCTTATATCTTCTTTTATCTTATACAAATTTTTATTTACACTTAATTTTTAGAGAGAAAAATTTTAAAGGTTATCGGTATAGTACGATAAAAATTTAGAGTAACAGATACGAAATTTGGACACGGCTTTATCTACACGCAAAGATAAATATTTATTTATTAGTTAAGAAATATCGCCAATTATAGTTTCATTATACGATAAGGGAATATCATTATATATTTTCAGTTAATTAACTCCTGTCTCTCAGCTGTGACAAGTATATAAGTTGATATAACGCGATCCGTCGGGAAAAGCCACATTGGCATGTGTTTCCACTGCAAGATCTCTGAGTGACTACATCAGATAAGCGCACGCGCGTATATACAAGTATCTATGGTTTCTGTATATACCTATAGTACGGAGTGACGAATTGCTATCAGATGTTAGCACGATTAAACTCTGATAATACCTCGTGCTATACGCGGAAGCGCGTTTCGACTCTATCGCGGTGATGATGAAGTCGTTACTCAAATTAAGGGAGGAACCAACAGGAGACATCGAACGACGGCATCGCTCCGTGCGAGATGTTCATTTTCATTCCATCGAGTTTGTCGAGCGGTTTACCTAGTGCGGCTGACCGGGTTCTGTTAATTTTGTGCGTCGGAATAACGTATTATTAACGACGATTCGCGATTTTGCGTTATATCTTTTATCTTTCTAACGATAGCGAGTCATAGCGCAACCAAATTTTTTCTCCGTGTTCGTGTAAAACAATGTTCAGTATAAATACGAAATTGTTTAAGGAATATCCTCTGGGAAGCATGAAACTGAGCAGAAATGAACGTTGTTCATGAATAATGCGTGAGCTGGTTATTAATCGCTTTTGAAAAGTATCTTCCCAACATAATTGGAGAACAATTGGACGGAGACGTGCTTTTTGTGTCAGCCGCATACCAATCGAGACGCGGATCGGTCATACCGTTGTATATAAATAGTCGTAGGAGAAAGATAGAGAGAAAGAGAAAGAGAGAGAGAGAGAGAGAGAAAGAAAAAGAGAGAATGCTAACATTGGCGCGTGATTGGTCCCTGAGATCAACAATCTCAGTGAGATTGAGCTGCGCACAATCAAAAGGCCTGTTCTTTTTGGCTGAACTTTTGCACCAGTTTATCTTTCTTTCTCTTCTTTCCTCCAGGAGAGAAAAGGAAGAAAGATGAATAAAAAGATGGAAATAGGAAAACAGAGACCAAAAATTTCAATCTATCAGGAACTGTATTCCACAGTACATGATTTCTGATAGATTGAAATTCTTGTTCTCTGTTCCCCATTCCTTTGATTGTGCGCAGCCACTTATCGTAGTTAAAGGATCCCGCGAGTGTTGATGATGCGTGCGTGACGTTTCTCGACGCAATGTTCGAATTACGAAGTCGGAAGTAAGGGCTGTGAACTGCAGCAGATCGACTAACAAATAGACCGATTATGTTATCTGAAACCATGCGATAACAACACCATTATTGATATCATTCCGCTGATCACCCTATTATCTCTTCAGGTGCGCACAATCAAAGAAATAGTTGTTTTCGACTTCGTCATCTATATATCGAGGAATATTTATCGATATATCAATCATTGACATCATAGGTGCACATCGTTAGCAAACGTTTTAACAATGAAAGAAATTTTAGAAATTTTGAACGAGTATAAGGTATACAGACGAGACCTCTAATTTTAATTGATCGGCAGATTTTTGTGGTTTGTGAATAACGATAATTTTTTATCGCGTCTGAAAAGTGATTTTACAAAATGAAATAAAGCTCCTTCTAAAATAAAACTTCTTTCTATATTACTGTTAGTATACTATCGTGCAAAAAAATTCGATGAAAACATCTAATTCTTAATCTATTAAATTTAATTGTCGCTCTTGCAAACTTCCCAAGAATACAAATAATTATATATATATATATATAGGATAGGAATCTTTCGTTAAAATTGTCTAACGATTTGCACGAGTGAATTGCACCGTTTGCTTAAAGATAAATTTAATGCTATTACGAAACTAAGGCATCCTAATGCGCTCCTTTAATGCATCTGAAGAGGACCAGAACAATTTTCCGGTCTGCATAATTGCGATTTTCTTCATTTAATACCATCGCACAGGCATTATCTTCCAACGTACAGTTTGCAATAATAATTCTACACTACAGTAAAAACAACAGGATGCGTAATGAAAGGTTGAGGCATGCTTATAAAATAGGATGTAATGAAAATGGAGAAGAGAACTCTCTCTTCTTTCATAAAAGTTCTCTCAAGTCGTTCTCGTGATCGACGGACAAAGGATCACTTTGTTTTTCATGTATTTCCTTCGTTTTCAACTCTCTCGCATACTACTTTACGCGCGATAACGCGCAGTTAATATTATCGTTGTTAAGAGTTCTATTTCTATTCTACCCTAGCTTCGTTGTTATTCTAGTATATTCGAACAAACGCGCTTCAGCGATGTCTTTATTTAAACAGAACGCGATGCGTCGACATTTAATTGCTGGAATTAATAATCCATTATAATGCAACGGGTATTTATACCGGATGAGTTACGTGACGCATAATTTTGCCTGTGGATGAACATTCGAGATGGATTTTATATATTTCTCTTCAACACTTTATAATGAACAGGAATTAAAATCTGTATAAGCAACAACTATGCAAACTGGATATCACGGATCGCTTATTAAGATGAGAACCGGATTAGTGATAGAATTAAAAAATTTCACTAATATCACAAATCCGTTCTTGTATATTTGATTAAAATTATCAAAATTTCATAAAATATTTATGGATATTATGAATATTTGTTTATATAATTTTTCAGTATTACAACGTGTGACTAAGACCTTCCAACAATCATGTGGGGCGCTTTATTGGAACCGTTTTTATTTCTCTTTATCCTGAAATTATTTGTTGCTATTGGAAATACATATCCAATTACTGATTCAGAACTTTCAAGGAATAATAATATAATGACGTCCATAAATGATTCAGCCGCAACAGTTACGCCTTATGTATGTGTTTACATATCACCGAATTTAGATTTTTGTAAATTCGTCAGGTAAGTCACTGGAAATTGGAAGAGTTTGTATTTTTCAATTTTTATAAATACATCAATGAATTACTTTTCTCTTGCTCTTGCTGCTTAATCTAAAAAAATATTCATTATATTTATTTTAAGGTTGTGAAGAAAGATTATATAATAATCAAATACACTATAAAACCTTATGATTTTTTTTTGAATCATAAATCTTTCTTTAGTAAAAACACCAAGAACATTAATACGTTTTTATATAAGATTACTGAAACGTGAAAAATTAATAAATTTTTACAAATAATGGTCTCTTATTATTTATTTTCCATTAATAAAAGCTTTATAAATTTATTACAAATTTTATCACTAGAAAAGTTGCATATTTTTAAAAAGTTGTATTTAAATCCAGAAAACTTTGATTTATAATTTATAATTTATACAGTTATAAATCCAAAGAAAATCTCTGGAATTCAGAGCACAAACTATTGGAAAATAAAAAGCACAAGTTAATGGAGAGTAATAAAATGTACTTTACATCACGCCCATTGACGCATGTTCCAGGAGCAAAAAAATTTCAAAATTATCCATTTGTAAAAACTATAATATATGAAATACAAAGATGCATACCGCCGAGGTAAGAATAAATGAATAAATATGTCGTAAATAAATAATGACATATTTATAAATAATTATGTTTTATGCACCTTAATGATACCGCAAAAAATAATGTAGTGATGTAATCAGCTTACATAGTGCTAATACGAGAAAGCGCAAGAAATAAAGTATATTGCATTGGTAAGAACTAAGAAGAACTATTTGTTCCATTTTGCAGATTGCCATTTGTTTTACCTTGGTGCACCGATGAAGATCTTTCCGATAAGAAGAACGAGATCCGCCGGCTTTATCCTTTCATGATAGATGGTTTTTCAAAAGCAACGTACGAATTTCCTATGTATGATTTTCTTAAACAAAGTCGAGTGATGCCAAAATCGGCATAATTTGACATATACACAATGTGTAAATTGATGAATTTAAATGGTCATTAAGAGTCATGTCTAAAGCCTGGTGATATTAGATAAAAAGATATTCTTATTCAGTTTTATTATTTTATCATTTCTATCAAGAATCTCGTTGATAAATCCACAATGTCAAAAAGGACAATAAAAATAACACATGTAATACAAAATTTTTATACATATGAGTATACATATGTAAGAACTGAAGAGTGTATACATTTCGCAAAGATTGACAAGTTGAAAGAATGATTGAGAGTATATAATTTAATGAAAGACTGCAAAGTGAGATGTAATTAAAAATAGAAAGTTCTTTAGCATTAAGCAATGAGAAATTTTTCAGCAATAGATTGTAATAAAAAGCAAAAGTAATGCAATAATGTTATTGCATCAAATTGTTAATTTCATTATTTAACATAACAATACTTTTGATAGCAATATTAATAAAAATAATAAATCAATATTATATTATGTATCAAATTTTATAATATAATAAAATAATCTTGTAATAATCCTAATATAAAATTATTAGGTGTTGGAATTAATTCGTAGCGTTTTACAAGAGATGGGAAGTACTTTCATTAATGTATTTTTTAATGCTCATGTGAAATAAATAACATTCTTTCATTAAAAAACGCTACGAATTAATTCCAACACCTAATATCTTCGTCATTATAATAAAAAAATTGGAAAATATTAAAGATAAATATCTTAATATTATTATTGCTCTTTTTCAATTATGCTTTACAAATTAATTTTGTATATATATATATATATATATATATATATGTATAATTAGTATATGAAGATCGCGGCAAATTGCCTAAACCCTTTCCCTTTGGAAAACTGGGACCTCTATCAGCGGCGTTTTCAAGTATAATTATTTTTCACCGAGTCATGCAAGTTTTAACCCTTCTGCAGTGTAGCTAAAATGAGTCTTCTATTTTAAAAATAGGCTAGAAAAATTTTGTAAAAATAAGTTTCCTAGATATCACAATTTATTATTGTTAAGAAAAACTTGAAAGCGCGCTGGCATAGGTCCCAGTTTTCAGACGAGCATAAATATTACGAGTAGTGGCAGATTGAAGGGGGTTTAGGCAACTTGCATGGTAATTATGCATATGACAAAAAATCGTACAGTAATAAATATAAATTCATTTTATAAGTAAAAGATAGCATTTTAAAGTGGCGTAAATAAAATTGACAAAAAAGACCAATCCTACGGCCAAATTCGTTTTCAACGAATAAAAATACATCGGAAAATGCTTCATTTATTTAGATCTCAAAAAAGTGTTAAACTGTGTTAATGGTGCGTGATTAATGTAAAAATAAATATATAATTCAATAAAATGTATGTGTTGCTGCGTTCTGAAGATGAAATTATCATCACATACATTTTAAATTATTTGTTACCAAACTTGAGTTTAAGTGATATTCAATATACACACAGTTTAGCACAGTTTAGCACAGCAAACTTTGAAACTGTGTTAGGCAACAGATTTATACTTACTTTTAGATTGTGATTGGATATTCTCATACTTAAACTGTAACATGATGTATATAATGTAGATCAACACTTCATAATTTCTTTCTTACATACTGAAGATGATCAAAAATTATAATTGAAACATTTATGTGTATTTTCAAATTGAATTATATATAGTTCTCTTCGCAGTTCCATTTGCATTATGAATATATATATATATATATATATATATATATATAAAGTGTATGTTTGAATATCTAATACCAAGAATTGTATGTACAACTATATTATATTTTAAATTATATTCTACTTTTATTTTTTAATTTCATAATGTTATCAAAACTAACAATAATAAAGGAACGAATGCATTTTAAAATCAGGATATATTATGTATGATGAGATATCGTAAACTCTATAAGAAACAATGTTGAGGATGGCAGACTATGAAATTCGTGGTGATCTGTGAAACACTACGATCAAGAGAGAACATATATCGGATAGTTCTGAGAAAAATATAAGGCTATTTCACAGGTTCACAGGAGAGTCGATGAAGGCGAAAATGACCGACGATGCGCAATAAAGGAAACGTGAGATATCTTACGGTGCATCTCTGATTCGAGTACGAGCTGTTATAAACGACACACGTGCTAAGAAAACCGCCGTTATACATAAAGCACCGAACGTGACAGGAATTTCGACTAAACGAATGAATATTGCTATTCATTCGAACTAATTATTTTGACTTAAATTAGTCATTAAATTAAACAGATTTATAGTTGTAGTGTTATCAAGAAGTTATAGTTATGAGATTTTACGTTAAAAAAGTTTATATTTATATCCTTATTTACATTTTTAGATATCTTCATTTATTGTGTTGCGAAACCCGACACCGAGAATCGTGTAATCAGTGTATTTAAATTAAAAATACATTATAACATTGTTAAATTACTTATATGTTAAGATATTTTTGCGTACTATTTTATCATATGTTTTGCATAATTCAATAAAGATTTCTTTAAATATATGTTTTTATAATTAATGTATGGTTTTTATTATAGAAGATATTGATACCCAGTTCGATCTCTCGACTTCTGAACTTCTGACGAAGGACTTCAATAATATATATATTCTATATTATGATTAATATGTTTTGAAGTGTTTAAACTTCTTCAGAAAAAGAACGTAAGAGCAAATTGCAAAAATGGCACCGATTAAAACTGGGATTCCAATTAAAACTGAACTTGGCCTTTTATCTAACATATATTATCATTTGTTTAATTAAAATTTAATTATTTTGTGAAATAATAGAAGGCATGCTTTCTTAAATATAACAAAAAATTTAGAATTATAAAAATCATTTTTATTGCACAAAGATTTTGATACAATAGTACCACATAAGAGATATTAAATTTACGGAATAATAAAAAATACAAACTTAAAAGTTCGTCTAGAATAAAAAAGCACTGAAGATTTCTAATCAATCAAACATATTACAGTTACATGTTTTAATTCTAGATTTTAGTCTCCTTTGAAGAAGCATGTAATAAGAATTCGTCGTCTGTGTGCAAAAATAATTTTACCGCTTTAGAAATGTACATTTAAAATTATTTGTATTTAGGAATCGACTAAAAAAGGAGACCAAAAAGAAATTGTGCTATACATTTGAATTGTGCTTTAACTTTTACTATTTTAAATTCTTAAAACTAGAAAAAAATAAAGAGTAAGTTAAATCAAAGTTAAAGTTGAAAACTTGATTTGATTTCACATCGCTGATTGACCAATTTAATATAAAATTTTCTGAGTGGCAGTATATATACTTCTAGGCACCGAAAATTTCTAGGAAAATTTCTAGGCACCGGCTGACATGAATAAATGTATGTTATCGGAACTAATGGGACTTTTTTACTAAAGTTAATTTATATTAATAAAAATGAACAGTAGAGAAAGACAATTTTAATAAAGATGCTGTCAACATTTGCTTCTGGTTTGGTCGCTTGTGTATTTTTCTATTAGTACAATCTTATTCATCACTATATGAAGAAGATTTATTATCAAATATTTACTTCTTTATTGTTGAAGATATCCAAATTATAAAATCTTTTTTACAACGACTACAAGCATGATCTAATAATGAATTTTCCATATAATTTGAACTTAAATAGTTTTTAATCCAACAGCAATAAATTCATGATAGAACTAATAAATAGCGTTTATTAGTTTAGCAGAAATGTTGCTATCTCATATTAGGTGCCTATCTCATAATAGGGAGCTGTCCTCTATATATCATTAATATGTATAAAATACTATAGTTATATTTCTTTAAATATGGTATAACCTTACTTAATGGAAGGATTCTAAGTCTAAATTGTAGAATAATGCCGAATTTACACATATTATTTCTTTCAGTAATTAAAAAGAAAAATTCATATTTATTAAGCTCAAATTTTTACAATATAAGTATGAACAATTATCACACATACACAAATTTTATTAGTTTGCATGTTACATGCATTATTTTGTTTCAACATTTATAGCAAAATATAATATTTACAATTTTTCTGATTATATTAATATTTCATACGGCATGATATTATTGCGTATCTGTATTCGTCATGTTAGATTTATTTGATTAAATTTTTGATTTTTTATTTCTCTCAAGTTTGGTTATATTAGATTAACTATTATTATTAGAATTATTATTAGATTTATGTACAGAAAAATGTTTATTATTTTCAAGTGTTCTATTAAAAATTTTGCCTAATATCGATGATACTTATAAATACTATTCATTATATTTGTCAACTGTGTATAATAAATGCAAATTTATAATCTATAATATATTATACATATAATATATGTATATGGTATAAATTATATGTTTTAATGTGTATCAAAGCATTGCATGTCCACCGTAATTCCATCATTTTTATCGTTGTAATTAAAAAATTCTGAAATTTCTCTGAAAATGTTAATACAAAAAATTAGGAAATTTAAATTAAATTCTGCTAAAAAAAAACTAAAATTGACACAAACTAAAATTGAAACATGTAGCACATTAATGATTCGTTAAAATTTGTGTATATTTGATATTTATTTGTACAAAGATTGAACTTATTAATCATAAATTAACATACATAAATGATAAATTTTTCTTTTTGGCTGAAAAAGAAGTGAACTATGTAGATTCGATAATCTTCCCTCAACATAATTAATAGCACCTGTAAGAATGCAACCACAAAGTAGTTATGCACTGAAGTAGCATATGTTCAGGCAGTAGCATATATGCAAACTATTAGTATATTTTTATATGCTTATAGGTATGAGAAATATGTTCAACAAATTCGGCACACCTTTCGATAATAAATTCAACAATAAGTTCATATATTTTTCTCAAGTCTCTCGCATTACGTAATTAACGTGTCACGTGCTAAGTCGGAGTAATAAATTTCTTTGCTCGTATGATTTCTACTGGTTAAAACAACCTGTTGAATAACACGCCACAGATTCCTATATTCTCGAGAAATTCATAGAATTAATTAACATACAAATATATAAAAATCACGAGCAGTTTAAACGGACAATTCTCAACGTACCAAGTAGCGTGTCAAATTTCTCGAGAATGCGTTCTCGAAAGGCGAGACAATGTGCGGGGAACGATGACGAGGGAAACACAATGTCCCGAAGCGGGACAAAGAACAAGTGTATACGGACGGCGCGGGCGGGGGAGGAGGCGCCGATTGTCGCGAGGATATCGCGAGAAAGAGGAATAAGAAAAGGAAAAGGAAACCGTGGAATCTCAGGTGCACCTGGGAGTGCACGGAGAAAGAACTTGCGAGAGAGTAGGAGGTCGGATTCCCGGCAGGGAATCTATCAGAGACGCGGGCCGGAGAGGTGAGGCGGATGAGAGATCGAGAGATCGAGAGATCGAGAGGTGTGTGCGTGTGCGTGTGTACCGTGGCTCTTGTCGCGGAGCGGAGAGCGCGAAGGACGCGTGGAGGAAGGCGTGGAGAAGGTAGAGGAGGAAGAACCTCCGCCGCCGATCTCTTCGCTGGAGCGATGGGACCCGTCTCGCGAGAGCGGAGGCTGCGGTTTATAGAAAGCGTTTGTACCGAGGCCGCGGCGCGGCGTCTGATCGCCTGCATGCCATCTCCGTTCACGCGCGGTACTGTTGTTGCCGTTGCTGTCACTGCTGGTGCTGGTGCTGGTGCTGGTGCTGGTGCTGGTGCCAGTGCCCGACTGTCCATACGCACGGAATACGGTGTTGCAAGTGCTACCAGTCGTCTGACCGACCGGTACCAGTTGACTGGTGTGGTACCAGTTGCTGCGTGTTCGTAGTCGCAGTCGCAGTCGCAGTCGCGCTATGCTCCGTCATTAACCCGTTGCTCGTGCTCGCGCGCGCGTTCACGGATGATCCATCGTAGCCGCTGACAGCTGAGATTGTTTGTCCGAAGAGACGTGTGCTTGAATAAACCACGCTGGTAACGCGGACTGTCTTTGACCATCTGAGAAGAATAGGTACGTTAGCGCGCGCGATAGAACCAAACGCGGTTCGAACGGGGTGCGAATGTTTAAAAGGCATCGATAATTAAGAACGTTCGAGAGACTAACTTTTTTCAGACGACATTTTTTCAGACGTTGCTCGGACGGCTTTTGCTTTTATCTCTTATCAGGGACTTGGACCGTTATTGAAATTTTATCGAAGATTTCCTACGCATATCGTGCGATTCTCATCAGCGATAATCTCGCACGCACGGTCGTGATTGGGCTCGAACAGGTGCACACATCGTGCGCCATCGTGCTGCAGTTTAGAAAGTGCAATGAACCGTTTCCCCCTTTTTCGTGATTTCCGTGTAATACTTTACCGCGCATACTCGTGCGTATGTACGCGAGTTTCGAGCACGCATGACGCATCGCAAGAAGGTGGTTTGTGTGACCGTGTTGCAGTCTCAATGCCGACGCGACTCGTACGTCCATTCATGGAAAGAGCAAGATGACTCGAACATCCCGTCCATCTATAATATAATGCAATGCAATGACAGTCTAATCCACTTTGCGTTTAATTACATAAGTGAATGATTCTCAGTTTCATTTTACCAGATATAACACGTATGTATACTAAGACCTCGAATAAACAGCTTTCTTCTTAATTTCATACCAACAAATCATTAAAAATTATCAAACGGAAATTAGCAACTGCGGTCAAATTCGTTACACTTTTATTCCTGAAAGATCGTTGCATTTTCTTCAAACTATACAAAAAGATTAACATATATATTTGCCTATCTGCTATTTAAATTTAAACGTTCAAAGAACAAGCCACCATCGCAAAGCTGAAACGTCGGCGTTGTTATAATATAATTATAGGGATTATCACGCGAAAAACGAATAGAATAGAACAGATCAATGGGATATTTCGTTGTCTTTCAGACGGCGAGAGGAGGTCACGCATCGGGTGGACGATCTCAACGCCTTCTTTTCATTTACTTCGAGGGGCCACGCCGACCTCTCTTTTACATTCGAGGATTCAGACGAGATCCGATCGAACACAGGAAACACGTCGATTGCGGCAGGTCACAAAGAACGACTCTGAAGATGGCCTACATTACCTAGTCTTATCGTTGAAAGGAACAGCACTGGCAGCCGTACGAACGATTTGATTGGAAAAGGAAAGGCCCGGAGAGGCTACAGAAAAAAAAAAAAATGGGTCAAGCGTGGTGTAAAGAGAAAACCTCCAAGGCCCAGGACTCCAAGTCTCCGTTGGATCGAGTTTTTGTACGATGCGCGCATCGGGTACGTCATGTTTCACTTCTTGCTCAAGCAGCCATTAATCGATAATTAATCATGTGTTTGTAATCAATGACGTGCGAGTGATTCGTTAACAAGCTTTGCGTGCGCGAATGTAATTTATGCAAACGCTCGCGATGAAACCTCATGAATATTTTATTCTAGTCTGAAAATCGCTTGCTTTATTATTTTATTCTGTAAATTGGACTTTATGCTTCTCTCTCTCTCTCTCTCTCTCTCTCCCTAACATTTATAATGCGTATTTGCATACTTTATATAAATACATGTCGAAAATAATCGTCCAAACTCTCGTATCGATCCCTTTAAGTTCAGAGTGTAAACGTTGTATATCTGATGAGGTCAAAAGCAGTTGAATCTTTAGGCATTAAGTTCCGCAGGGAATGGTCCGACTTCCGTGGCAGATAATCTAACTTGTGTAAACTATGCGATGACTCCTGTATTCGCGGTGCATCACGAAAACATCTGTTTGCGTTATAATTTTACACGATTGTTAGGCGCGCCGGTCGGTCGCGTCTCTCCGGTGTAAGCGATGAGAGGCGCGACGGTATGAAAATAAAAAGAGCATACACAGAGAGAAGGCCGCTGGTTTCCTCGTGCACTTGGAACGGATACGGAGACGTGCGTCCTCGTTATTATATAACGTATATATATATATGTATACACACGCACGCACGACGGTCGGATTGCACGGACTGCAGAAATCTGTGAACGCGTGTTAGGCGTGCGTGCCACGCCAATTTGGAATCTCGGGTATGCGGATGCGATCGCAATTACTAGCGATTTGCTGCTTTTACTTGTGACAGCGTACGATAAATTATATTACAGGGATTAATAAGCGTATTTTCCAAGCGAAAAGCTGAAATTCAACGGTATCCTTCTCGTAACTTTCAAGACACGCAGCTGCGCGGAAACTTAACTCGAACCTCGCGATTTATAAGTCCAAAGTTGCGATACACATCTAATATATTTTTCTCAGTAATCATTTATACGCCTCGTATTATTGTTTTTTATCGATCTTGATCGTGTTTCGATGCGCGATCTTATATTTATTATTCAGAATTCATTTTGACGATGTTTCCGCTTCTGCTCAAAGGTGGGGCAGCCATACATATATATTTGGTTAAAAAGTGATCACTTTAGAACGGCGCAGATGATCATCGGTAAATCGCGGGGGGGGGGGGGGGGGGAGAAGTAATTCACGCGCGTGGAGTATAGTCATTTAGATAAGGTATGATAAGTTCGATGTTAAACAGAAAACGTAGCGCATGTCAAGGATTTCTTGTATAAGAAATAGTACGAGAAAAAATCGGGTCGCGTCATTGGATATTTACAGGTTTTTTTGCTATATTCATATCGAAAAAACAATTCACTAGAAAATTACCGGCCTTCCGGACAAAATGGGGAAAATATTCGTGACGTAAACACACAAGTATTATTCCTCTCCAAATATTCTTGTTTTTTCTCTCTCTGTTCGAATATTTCCACCGCGGAACTTTCTATTTTTGTACCGAAAAGTCATGTAAATTATGTAGATAGATTGTACATACGAACGTAACAATCATTGCGTCGTATTTGACAGTACAGACACACAACAAATTTTTTTATCCGGGGATTAGACTATGGTATTCTTATTTATTGACGCTCTGAAAAAGTCCAAATTGCTCTATCATAATTTTTTATATCGACGGAAAGTAGTCGATTTTTCAATATTTTTTACCTATATCAGCTTGATATTATCGTTGAATTTACTTTCTCTCTTTTACCTCAGATTGTACATTAAAAATCAGGCCATAAATGACTGTAAAAATAGTAGAAAATCGAGCTATTTTCCATTGATAACAAAAATTGTAATGCGACGGAGTAATTTATAGACACTCCGCTTTTCAGAGCGTCCAAAATATATAATAATACCACAATCTAATTTCCAGATGAAACATTAAATTTTGTTTTTTATGCCCGTGTGTTTCTTGTATACGCTAATGTAGTTTTCGTCCTGGTACACTCACGCTCTAAATCGCCGATTGACAAACAATCGTTGCAAACAGTTTGTTTTGCACCTGCACCGAAGCTAACTTGCGATTCATCGAGATATTTTTAGACGCGATTAAATTCTGCCTTTCGTATGACGTGGGTCGCGAATGCGCGTATTATTCATCCTGTACGTACCTCGTCGCGTGTCGCTTCGCGGCATTCCGGATCCGCGATTTGTATACTCCGTATTCACAGTAAAATCGCGGGATTGATATGATATCTGTATTTGCACAATTACGTTGTTCCTGCAACGCGTACGTCTCAGCCGCGACCTAGAAACTCGAACTCGAAACTGGTACCTATAATATGAAACGCCTTATGCTTTTCGCGGATTATCTAAATACGAAGTTTTAACAGTGCAATTTAGACCGATAAGTACGCACTGCAATGGGACTTTGTCTCGACCACTTTTAGTCCGCTGTTATCTTTATCAAGGGTGAGTTAAGATTATCGTGGAAACATGATTACTGACCGTTCCAGGGTGAGTTCGTCCAACTGGTTTCCGGTATTTGCTTCCTTATCGCACTCAACGTTGCGGACATAATTTCTATTTTGCTAGCATGACTAAAGAATATGCTTTGCTGATTCATATGCATGTACACGCGTACCTATACGTATTAGGAGAATGGTGGGCGCAATCACAACATCGTGAAAAAGGAAGATATTATTCTACATTAACATTCTACTTTTTAAGGAGTGTCTCATTTTAAAGAATATATTATATTACATTAATATATTATATCAATTTTCGGTATGTCAATATTTTTCCAGTTGCCGTTCTATATTTCTTAGACTTCAAATTCTTAGAATTCAAATTTTTTAAACTTTTGGCTTACAAAATCCTCCTTTCGTCTAACAAGAACAATTTAACAGCTTTAATTTGCCGCCCTAATTACTGTCGACATTGTCTATAAGATGTCATCTAAGATTTCCTAGATTTACGTTAAATTAATAAATATATCAGCCCGAAGAAACCTTGATGAGTCGACCTGGTTTGAATTGTTAATGATATGTTACTAATATCACTGTTATGCATGAGTTCGTCGAAATGGAAAACGTAACATCCTTAGCGACGCATGCCTGTGAAGTTACGTATGTATGCGTACACCGTGTATGCGAGAGCTCACAGAACCATGTGAATACAATTACATTTGCGTGATATACACCATGTACTTGCGATTGAAGCACCGGTACCTAGTACCGCTCTAGCAGTAGAATACAGATTACATAAAACGTAGTACTGTATGCTAGCGGAGCAAATATTACTGATATTTGCATATCAGTAGATTTTTCTTGCGGTTTCTTATGAATTCATACGAATAATCAATGTGTCAGAACTTAAAATCTCTTCCAGACTCGTTGCACTTTTCAGTGGTGTGCGAAGTTGATTAAAATGTGTAGATAGAACTTATGAATTTCTATCCATAGGTTTTAATGAAATTATTATAACATTTTTTTGTGCAGTATATACTGTCTGATTAATTAAAACTCAGTACTGAAGATATAAATCTTCGTATATAAATTTACAGACGATTTAATAGACGTATATAAATATTCGAATATTTGCAACGTATTGCGTTAGTTTTGATAAAATGCCAAGTTGATCGATATAATAAAGCTGTTACTTTTAATCTAGCACCTTTAAAAAAATTTTGATCGTTGAGATGACAAACACGTAATTGTTTATATATTACGGTGTTAAAAAGTTACATAATCAAGCAAGATGCAGAATCAATCCTATCACTTTTGTTACTTTGGAAAACTATTGTAAGTTTTTGTTTTTATATTGTAAGGAAAATACTATAAATTGTATTATATCGTTAAATTATACGTCGAACCGAATTTTGTCAGATACTAATGCAATTTTGAAAACTTTGCCTTCATTCAATTTTGTTAAATAATCCTGCGATCGAAAAAGACAATTCGCAGACATCACGCCTTGGCAACGTAATCGCAGCTTCACGGAGGTAGACGTTGGCCGATCGACCTACGCTACTGTATTATTAATAGATAGTGAAAGTTACATTAGATATTTGTGCAGGAACCCAGAAAATTGCCCACTGTCACGAAGATATAATAAAACTTTGGTAACAACCGGTGCCGTAATGCGCGCAGATTTCACGCTAGGACTCAACTTCTTGCCGCATTGACATTTGTCGAAACAACCATCGCGCAAAATACATTTACGAGCGGATATAAAGGAAGGATCTCTTCACTAGTGCATTAAACTCGTTACATTCATTTTATTCGGCAGGAAATCCACACCTTTTTTTCGCACGCATGCCATACGATTCAATTTCTGACGCTAAAAGTTATGCAAGAGTTCTCATCAAGTTTTACTTGAAAAATCCTTTACGATTGGAAATTCAATACCTATACGAGACGAGATTTATTTTTGTACAACGAGTTCGTTTTGTAATTTCCTAATAAAGATAAGTTTTGATTTCTATCAGATATTATTTCTGCAAGAACGGATGCGTTATTTGCAACCACACTTTTGCAAAAAGTCGGCCAGCAGCCTCGAACGAATCCAGGCGAATGCGTTTCGCGAACAACATTTCGCTGAAACAATGCTCTCGGACAGTGGCGATTTGGGTCCTGGTTCGTGGTGTAACTTAATCGGCAAAATAACTTTTGTTCACTGACTCGCTGGGCAACGTGTCGCGCGCGAGAAGTTTCCCGACAAATTTGCAATGTAAACCGCGCCCAGAGGAACGGCCATGCGACACGTGTACGATTTCCAAAGGGCTGTATGCTTCAGCATGTGGATATGTACTTACATGTAGAGTGGAAGGTAACATACATTGCCATTTCACCGTGCTGCGCGAGATCGATGCAAGGACGCTTCTCTCATCCTGTTTAATCTCGTTAACACTCCATTATTTGCTGCGCCACTTACAACGTATCTGTATTACGTCGAAACTATATCGTTCCTCCTCCTTTCCTTCTGACTCGTTTACTTGCGATTAAACCTGCCGTAGACTGAATTTTAATTCGTTTGCTATCGAGTTTGTACAGTAGAACTATCGAGGACTTGCTTCTTTGTAGCCCTGTTTACGAATTATATACAATAAAATTCAAATTATGTAATTGAACCAGATAAAAATGAAGAAGTGTGAACAGCTGTTTTTTCTTAAATGATTTTGTAATTTTAAAAGAAAATCATTTTTTTTCGGGAAAATGAAATCTGTCAATGAGAAGCAGAAAGCACACGCGTTCGCTCACTCTTCGTTTTGGAACGTGAACAGAATTGACAAAAAATGACATTTCGGTCAGAGTTCATTTGAATTATTAAAATTATCATGGCGTGAAGGAAATAAGAATTTTGATCACTACGCATCGATTCCGTTTTTTTTCCCCTTCACGAATAGATCGAATAAATTAGCCTGGCATTTGAAATGTCATTATTCACACCCATCGGAATATAATCCTGCTCTTTTTCAAGAGTAGGAGTAGTCATAAGAGTATTATTAAAAGGTCAAATATAACAATATAATAATTGTTCTAAGGGATTGGGAAAGAGATATCTTTTTTTTTGCATGTGGTATCGAGCGAATCTCGCGTATATTGAGAGTACATTCGCGTTGATAAGTAAAGGAAATAATTGTTCGATGTGTTGAAAACGTTCGACGCGTCACATGGGCAAGTCATCTGAGATATCTAGTCTCTCTAGCTGAAGGCCGATCGTAAAGACGATGAAACAGTATTGAGCTCACTGGTGCTTACTCACACATCTTACACGCCATCGTGTTTTCGCGTCCCGCGAGGATACAAACGATATTATGCAACGCGATTCGCACAGGATGGCCGCTGATTGTGTAATCCTTCGACAAGAGTGTCAGGGACCAAGTCATGTTTCCGTTAAGCTTATTGCTTGTGTCGTCTACCCGGGGTATTCCACTAAATTGAAAGATAACGCAAGCGTTTGGAAACCATTATCGTTATTTGTTGCAAATAATTTGGCGAGCTCGCCATAATATAATTCTAAATATAAAATTATCGCAATTCCTCTATTAAATATTGCAGATGTCTCTAATTTAGTTAACGCTTATTATGCTATCTAATTTCGTTAATAGTTCCTAATTTTATCGAGAAATAAGTAGCGAGCTAACACTAATTGCATACAGAGCATGCTAATTGGATATACTAATTACGTTCAATATTTAATTTTCAAGTTGCATGGGTATGTCGTTGAAAGATACTTCTAAAATTGCGGTCGTCTAAAATTTCTTAAAGAAATGTTTCTCCCTCCCAAGCGAATTTTACACAATATTTTAGTGAAAATGCCATTTTTCAAACTCAAATCTTTTCTGTGCAATATCTTGCAACGAAAAATTCCGTTTGCTCCGAAAGAATTATGAGAGTCGTCCTCCAACATTTTAGAGCCGAGATTTCATTCAGAATTGTAAGAGTAAGCTGAAAGAAAAAAATTGATGCAGCTACTTTATCTACAAGATTTACGGGCGATCTTTAATCCGGTAGTCACAAAAATGCTGGATTTTTGCGGCCGCAAACTTTTGAAAAGGGACTTTTCTAGGGCACAATCGGTTGCGTCTATGGTTTTCGGTCGAGTAAACGAGCCGATGAGCCAGGTAATGCGAATTAGCTTAATCGGCTCCCCATGCGATCGATTCGACGATCCTTCATCCACCTCGCGTCTCAACGCCCGCCTGGAGAATTGCCCTCGTATTCTCCGAACCTAAGGGCGCGTCGAAGTAATTATGCTGTTAATGACTTATTAATCCTCGATGGTGCTACCTATAAGCCATCGACGAAACAGAATCGATAGAATCATTTGCTTAATCTCATGCAATTATTTCATGCTTCATGGTTGATAAACTATTATTTTTCAAATAATTGTTTATAATTCAGCATTCAAAATGTGAATGAGCAACGTTTCTGATTTTCTTCAATGTATTTTATGAGGTAAACTCATCAAATCATCGCCGAAATATTTATTAATTAGTTATCAAAATGGTGCGAAAAGTTTCTTTTGTTTCCTTTTCTTCATTAAAATCGTCATAAAAATGTTTTCTTCAGATTTTTCAGAATTCATAAATTTTTAACAAACCGTTATGCATAGATTTATTTCATAATATTGTACTTTATGCATATATTTCTCTTTCCCCTCACGAATGTTCCAGATATGTTCTCATTAATTCTACTCAGTCTACAACTTAATGAGAACATATCCGTTTAACAATGGAAACGGTACTTTTCTCTTCATTTAAACTTTCGTAGGAATATAGAACGACAAAGTATAACATTCATGCTTATTTCTGTTGCAGATTTATCCAAGTTTAAAGGAAGAAGGCTCGGTCTTAGGAGGCGCCACGCAGAGAGTTACGAGGTACGCGTAGTTCCTTCTTTTTTTTTTTCTCTTTTTCTTCAAACCTTACTCATGCATTTTGCGATTGCAAATCATGGAAAGCTGCACGCAAGTTTTACTGGACATAGTATAAGTAATAGGATTTCAGTGTCGCTTTTAAGAGTTACCTCGCTCTGTAATTTTGCTGACGGTTATTGCCAAGAGCGTGCATCACCGTTGCTGTTAATTGCGCGAGAACGTGGGTCGGAGATAATCACTTAGAAGCGGTCGAGGAATATTATAATTGATACAATCATATTAATTCCAGAGAGATAATTGAATTAATAGAAAGTGACGCGGTACGAAGCTTCTTCCTGATGATCCACCGAAAAAATTGTGTTACCCATACCGTTAATGCGATTAATGTTATCGTACATGCCATCATTCCACACACAGGAAGTATGTTACAAAAGAGAATTTATGAAAGGAGGTCCGCTAATTTGAGCTGGACAATGGACTCGATAGCTTATTGGCTTAATGGACAAGTAATCGTGTTACACATCCACTTTCCGCTAATCTTGAAATACTCGGTACAAAAGTTATATTACGGATACAATTGGACATCATCAACGGGCAACGTTATGAACCGTATATCAGGCAATTACTTCTTCGATATAAATAATACGATATAAACGATGTTGACATACAATATAAACGTTAAAAAATCGTACAGATAACAATAATGTCATAATTAAAATAAACGATGCTATCTTTTTGACACGCAATAGAAACACGCTTAGTACCACGATTATGATCCTTCGTCGATCGTGCATAAATCGTAATAAATCGCGATATATCGCACGTAAGGAGAGAAGAACGCAATTTCCTGATGCGATGGCAACAGCCTCGAGGTGAAATCTAAACGACCGAGCTCGTAAGCGTCGAAGGTGAACCTAACTTTACAATGAATTGAGAGAGGTGGCGGACTCGACCTTAAATGGTCACACTCAGCGAACGCTGCGTCGAACTCGATAACGTAATTTTATTTCTTGCCACTATTCGTAATTGAATCATATGCTCACAAGCGCTACAATCAGTTCGTCGCTCTTCAGAGAAATCGAAGTAGCTAACATTTAGACATTCGGTAATTTTTCTCTTAAAACTGCGAGGTAGGAATGTTTTAACTTTGAATTTTTCCACACTAGTCTGCGATTGGAATTCAAGAAAAAATAAATTTATTATGTAATAAACGATTTAGAGTTATTTCTTTACGCTAATGAACAAAAAAGATTTCCTTTTTTTCTCAAATAAAGAAATAAAAATTGCTCGTTACTATTTCTATTTGATTCTTTTTTTTATCATGTAAAATATAACAGATTTCTTTGATACGATTAGAATATTTTATAATGGAATCATATAATAGCAGATTGCAAATACTTAAAATAAAAGTCTATAAAGAATAATTTATATCTCATCATATTTATATGTTTTTCTTTATGATATATCTATGGGAAATTATTAATATTTCAATACGCGATACTCGATTCGTTTGAATTCGTTTGGATTATTGTAACGTGTCGATTGCGAAAGGAAAGGAATCGAATTTCGACAGAGAAATATTTTTGGAGTCCGGACACGTTACATGTAAAATGCGTGGCGCGTTGCGTGCAGGACGACGGTCTCTTGGTTCTCGTTACTGTGGAAAAGGATCTAGGTTGTGTGACAGGTTTATCCTATATTCAGACAGCTTTTAGGCCGCGTGACAGTGAATCCACACGGCGATGATCGAGCGTGGGTCTGTCGCTTTAGTTTGCTCTCATCCTACGCCTTGTTCTACTGATTCCTTTTTAGGACCACAAGTGCGAACGTCTAAAAACTACTGTGTATATGCAAAAGCGAACAGAGTCTAACATTATCATATTCAACATATTTATATACATTGTATATCAGAAAAATAAGTTGTAAAAGTTGCAAAATGGAGTTAGTGAAATTGAAGCTTTCGATTGTATACAGCGAAAATATGATGAAGAAATAATTTGTAATTTTAATCTAAATTAATTTATTTTTCTGTATAAAAATTGATTTTTATATATTTTTAGTTTCTTGGATATTTTAACAATAATCATCGTAAAATTCAATATTAAAAAGTCCTATATTAATGAATAGCATACGTTAATGTGACAGTAATTTGTTTAAAAATCTGAACATGAGCAACATGCAGCAAGTGACATGCTTGTTATACATATTTTATGAGAACTATACTAGACTTTAGTACTGCTCAATTATACCTGTTCAAAGAAATCTACTTTCTCTTCGATCTTTTTTTTTTTTTTTGAATCATGTGGTGTACGCGTGACTACGTCAATTAAATGTTTTTGCCTTGCTGGGAGAAAGATTAAATCAATCGATAACTTTGTCGCGATAGTACGGAACAGGTGAATGGTTCGCTATCTCGCACATGACGAGTTAATATTTTTAATTTATTATCAGCAAACATATTATGTAGTTACACTAGCATTCCTCTCATATCACATTATGACCAACAGTAGTACATGAATATTTGTACTTATATAAGTGTTACGAGCAAAGGTGAGCTTATCAAACATTTTATAAGTTTTAGACTTTCACTTAACGTTTTCGCAATTAATTTGTTCAATATTTTTTCAATATTAAATGATTTTATTCATTAAAATATTGTAATTAGGATCGATACAATTATTCTGTTCATTTTCAAGGTATAATTGATAAATTATAATTTCAATGTAAATAAAAATATTTCAATTAACACATTATAGCGTTCCAACTTGGTATAATTCGATATAAAAAATATTTTTTTAATTACACCAAGAGAAATTGAAGATAATGGGTGTGTGTATATATATATATAAGTTTTTTAATATATAATAGTTTTTAAGGAGAAATATTTTTCAAACTTTATGTAGTGTGATTGACGTGACAAAGTTACTTGTCAATTTCAATCTGCGCGAGTTATCGATGGCGAAAGTTTTATTTCGCCAATAAAATTGATTAATAACTCCTGTATGACGAGTGAAACGAGTCCACGTTGTAAAATTACATAGTAATTTCACAGCAGTTTCGTAACTGGCAAGATATTCTTCATAGTGCACTGTTAGGCTGCCTGACGTTGAACCGGTGTTTATCATTAGACTACTGTAATTAATGACGTAGATAGTAATGTTTATTTTTTCATTAAAGCCGGTAAAGGTGAAATTAAGCGATGAAAAACCTCGCGTTTAATATAATAATATTTTATCACTTTACATGTTATTAGCAAAAAATTGTTGAAGGGTGCTATCCCATTAAAGATAAATCGCATTGACGAATCTCTCTCTTGACATGATAAAAACCGAACCTTAAAAATCGTCGATTGAAACATATGTGTTGATAATAACGTACATTTTATGAATATACTCTGATAAAACACGAGCACAATAGAGATATGCTTATAATAATCCGCTCGTCAGTACAAATTGTTCCAACAATGTGAATTTTAATTCACTTGAGCCCGCAAGAACAACGAGGATGATCATTTCGCGTAAATTATTCGCGCACGCTGAGGCATAAATTACGATGCACCAGCTCGTATATATGTGCACGGGTTAACATAGTAAATAAACTGCATGTGTCACATGCTGTTACGGTTCCTCGATGTGTAGAACGAGCAACCCTGCCCACACTCACACGCACATATATTTTATATATATATATATATATATATATCCATTAAGTAGGATAAAACATCAATTAATTATTCACAACGTTTTCTAAACGTTAAAATAAAAATAAATTTATTTTTTATTATTTTTACAATGAGTTCTACCTTGTTCTAAACGAATATATTAGAAGAAAATGTTTCATTCCTCTTTATAAACACGATTTATTGTTATTTCTTGTGCACACAATGATAGTAAATTAAATAAAAAGCATTATTATTAGTAGTTTATTACTAGTTTCTTTTTCTTAAAGAAAAAAATTTTTGTTATAACACATTAATGACTGTATCCGAAAGAATTTAATATTTTGTCATATTATTCCATATTTTGATACTAGTTCGATGTAACTATAAATCACTGATAAATTCTGGAGAGACGAACGGAATTCTTTCTTCTTTATAGATATTTTGAAATCGCTCGCGTGTACTGGGAGTATTTTATACGAAGTTGAAAGGCACTCTCGTGCACGAGCAGGAGACTGTATGAGAGAAATTCCGGTAATGTTTCGCGTCCCGAAAGAGTTACAGCTCAAGGGACGCGAAGAAACACGGAATGCATTTGCGATAAACCGTATAAGCTATGTGTAGCGCCGTAGCGATTCCGGATTATTTCGGTGCATCGAGCTGTAGTTTTTGATGAACACAAATTGTTTCGAAAGTGGCACAGAATTAACAGTCGACTGCTTGCACATCCTTACTGTGACACGAAAGAATGTAAATTTATCTCATATTCCTTCTTTTTTTTTTTCTCTGTTTTCCTTTGCTTCGCAAGAAACTACACAAAGTTTGAAAAAAACCTTTAAACGATACAGAATGATTCGGCTTGTACATCATTTCAATGACAAATATTATATATAGGAAAAATGATGTTTGAAAAAATACAGATTTAAGTTCTCTAATGAAAAAAATATTATTTTATAACTATGCCACTCAATTAGTTATCCCTAAAGCAGTCCAATCTTATACGTAAAATATTTGGTAATCGGCATACATATGCATAAAATTGCATATGTATTTTTATTGATAATTAAAATGGATTTTTTCAAAAAAATGTTTCAAGAATTTCAAAAGTTTTTTAAATATAGTTTCTGATAAATTCAAAAGTAATTTTTGAAAAAGTAAGCAGCGATATCACTTGAATGCCTTTTAAAAACCATTTTTTCTCTGATACAAGCTTTTCTCTTTAACTACTCGCGTCTACACAGTAAGAAATATTTTGTATTTGTATTAAAAATGGTCCACTCAAATCTTTCTTAAAATCTTTTGTGTTGAATTTTTAATATATTCGAATTTTAATTTTACATAACATGATTGTGTTATTTGAATATTTTGTGTTAAATTAAACTTGAACATTTTTTAGTGTTAAAATAATACAATTTATATGTAAGTAAAAAAAAATCACTAACATAAAAATAATGTAGTTTTAAAACATAAATTCTAAGAATAAATAAATAAAATGTGTATGTTGATTTAATATATTATAAATGTTAATTTTATTGAAGAAATATGTTCTGTACAACTAATTACATATTTTATATGTGAAAAGGTACGGATATTTTGTATTATTTTCTCTTTGTAACAATATCTGTTAAATCTATATATTGCATATGTTAAATACCACAGAGCATCGTCTAAACTAAAAATGTAAAAACAGCATCTAATTTCAGTTAGATAAACATTTAACATCATAAATGTGTCAGTTTAATATAAAATTTATTTTTAAACTGTGTCAAAGTATTACGCTTCTTGCGTTAATTTTTTACATAATATTTGTGTACTTTAGTACATAATGTACTTTCTAATATACATACTCATTTTATAATCTCTATTAAATTAACACAAAAATGTGGGTGGACCGAAAAATTGGGACATGTGAAATGTGTTAAATTTAGCATAAAATTTTTTACTGTGTAGTCTACATTGTTAAAATATCCACATCGCAATGGGTTTTCATACAAACCTAATGCAGTATACTCGCACGATGATCGATTACACGTATCAAATTCATTCGTGCCATGGCTCATATATTTACATTTCGAGCTATAGAGCACGTTAGCTAGGAAGCAGAGGCTCAACTTAATCTTTTCTGCGTAGTTCCGAAATAGGATACGCCGGTTCACCACCGAGGGAAGTGCTCACGAGGGGACGGAGCATAGACTCTGTGGACAGACCCTTTCATCCTAGCGATTGGGTGGACGTCAATCTCGAAGTACCCAGCCCGCCCAGAGCGGACTCAACTCTCACGAACTCGATCGTCGACACTAGTCTTGGTCCCGCTGTCACACCTACATTCAACTGTAAGCTCACAATTTATCGCCAGATTGTTCAGCAATTGGTGGATCGTTACCGAGTACGAACCGAAAGTACGAAAGCGCGTGTGTGCCGGACCGAAACAAAATGAAATTACGGCGCGGCGCGCAGCGGAATCCTAAAATGCATTAAGAAAGATGAAAGGTATCTAATTAAAATTTTTTAATGAACGCGACTCGCAAAAACAGAGTAGTTAACAGAATTAAAGACACGATGAGATTGAATTACGTCGTGACATTGCGTGAAATTGTTGCCTATACGAATATTGCTACCTTTCGTCTCGTATGGAACGCAATTTCAACTCGGTTATGAAGCCGTAACAGGAATGTGCGACCAGGATTCTGACTCTCGCAAATTTAACCGTCAGCGGCGTCAGCGAATGGTCCCTCTCTTCCGTTTCTTGTCCGAGCATAAGCCATAAGCCCGCATAATTTATCGCTACACTACGTAGATCTTTAACGAGTCGCGTTAACGTTGCGACGATGGCTCCAGTAACGGCCACCGATATTAAAGTCGTTAAATTCGTTCAATCTGCATGTTACAAACGTCGTTATATAGGACAGAATAGATACATCAAGCGCACGATAACCATTTATTCGAATAAATGTATCATCGCAGGTGCCAATCTGAAGGACGTCACTCCTGTGCCACCACCGAGACGAAAAAAAAGAAATAGGAGCAGACCCTTGCCGCCAAAACCGGACGAGATTCCTGAGAACGTGACCAATAATTTGAGACGCGGCGATACGAGTGAGGAACCGTTATATTTCTCGGTCAGATCGCCGAAGACGAATAACAACAACCAGAATGGTGAAGTCGAGACATGGGAAACGGAAAAGACTTGCACGGATGATCCGAAGTATGACGGTCGAAAGACGAAAGAGATTTACGAACATAAGGTGAGTTAGCTCGTAATTCTTCAAGTTAGCCTGCGAATAATCAATGCCATATCATTATTTTAGTATTGCACAATTTTTATATTTAAATAACACTCAATGGCTTATTTTCATTTTCGTTAATTTTGATAAATAATGTAAATTATCTATGTCCTTCATACAATCACACTGCACTGACGTTATTAATTGTACGAAATGGTTTTTATTTTTAGTAAAACTCGCCTGTCCAATTTTAATCAGCACAGATTTTGTAGAAACATAAATTAATTGAACATCCATATCTCTAATACATGTGTGGAATATTAAATGTTGTTGTGCCACATTATTTAGGTTCGTGTTCATAGTCGTAGATCGATCCACGATTGATCCTCATTTCAGGCAAGCTAGGTTTGAACTAAAGAGAACCAGATTTATTAAATCTGATTTGAAAAGCGTTTTTCAAATGAAAGACTGATTCAACTCTAGCTCAAATCGAATCTCATGTTGAATCACGACTATGAATTCGATCCTTATTGGGACAAGAAAAAAGTTAGCAAGCGACGAAAATTTCTAAAATGTATAATTTGTAATAAATAAAAAAGTTAATAAAATAAAAATTTAAAAACAAAAGAAAGATACTAATATAAAACCGAATGTAAAACGTATTGATGAGAATGAAAGCTATTGAAAATAAAGCATACTGTACAAATTAAACTTTAGAAATTAAACGAAACAAACTTTATTCAAATGTTATTTAAATTATAGAATTTTTACGACAATGTTTTACTTATTTTATATAGAATTATAAGAAGAAAGTAATACATGCTGTAATGTGATGTACTCTTATTATACCGTATATTTTCTTATTACATACTTAATTTGTTCAAAATCATATTAATAGATTAATTCGTTTCTGCATCCATGATACCGTCCAATTTATGCGAGAGGAAGATAAAAAAATGAAAAAAATATATAGCATACTATTGGGAATTATGCTAATCTCGAATTTCTTGCTCTATTCGACTTCGATAATAACGACTTCCTTCGATAGGTTAATGGCACCGGAAGGATAATATCCAGCGAGGTGGTTTCCGGCAAAAGGACGCCTGCCGACAAGAAAACTTCGAGGACTTCGGAGTCGAACTACCATCACCGGAAAGTTCTTGAGAACGAGGAATACGAGAGATTCGCCCGGAATCAGTCGATCAAGGACTCTTCGACTCCTAATCGCCAGGACAGACGAAAGTCGAAGGAGCTCGAGAGGCGGATCAGGGATCCCTCGAGGGACGACGACAGACCGGAAGCAAATACAAGGACGAAGAACTATAGCACCGTTAGCTTGCCGAATTACGATGAGCTGGACGTGTCTAGGCATCCTGTAAAAGACATGGCGAACGACGAGGAAAGAGTAGAAGAAAAAATGAAATCAAAGAGACCCGTCAGAAGCAGCACTGTCTCGCTTCCGGCCGAATCTTTCCTATCACCCTTTTCCGAGGTTCAGTACAATCAGTCTCCATAATTTCATTTCGTAGATCAAACGCAGAAATTTTGAAACGTCGAGCTATCTATTAACTCTTAGTACACATGATGATTTTCCGGTCCTTTATACTATACACAACGCGGCAAACTAAGTATTTCTACTATTACAAAGAAAAGAAATACCCACGACACGAATCATCTAATCGTACTTACATATAATACATATATTAGGTCATTTAAAAAGTATCCGCGGTTTTTTGTTCGATTTTTGAATGAAAAAACCGCGGATACTTTTTAAATGACCCAATATATTAAGGGTTAAAAATATATACAACAATTAAGTAAAAACTATTATAGTCGCATAATTAGATTTTTTTATATTATTACACAATTACTATCGTAATTAAACAATCATACAAATTTTCTTTAAAACTGGTATGTGTATAAAGTTTGTCATGATATTTTATTACTTTATAAAAGAGATATCTTGATAAAGTCACGTTTTGTACATGTATCCTCATATTTCTTTCCGTCAACTTTTTAATTTGATTTGTTTCGCTGTGTTGGCGTACCACGAGAGTTATAGAACTAATAATAAGACGATTGCACTTGTGTTATTTCTTGATTATAGAAGACCAGTGTATGTTTGGAGGACTACTTGCCGCGACGTGATAGCATGGAGCACCTGTCGCTGTATCAAGTGCTAGAGAAGTTGGGTTCTAGCGAGAACGAGGTCATCGATGGCAGATTCATGAAGTACGATCCAAGTAAATTGGAGGATTGGGACCTCAGTGACATCAGTAATTGCGATTCGAACCAACGTCTCTCTGTCGAGGTATGTTTACAAAGCGAGCCACGTTGAAATCGATATTAAGCTGACGCCTGTTAGCGCTGGTATTCCGATGAAGAAACTAATCGCATTAAGAAACGTATCTTTGCTTTCAAAAGCAGAGTAGATTTGGAATATTCACGAATTTATTTTCATCGCCGAACATCGCGTTGTTCTAATTAGAAAAATTATTTTTTTAACCGTATATCTCTTTATATGACAAAATTATAAGTAATATCATTTCTGCGTTATGTAATATTGTTTTGGTATATTCGAAAGTTCCTCAAACTTCAAGCAGCTGTAATTTCCCTACTTTCTGGTAAAAAATGTCTGAAATACAGTCATATAAAGTGAAAAAATTAATTTATATTTAGATTAATTCGATATATTTTAAATATGTATTATTATAGAATACGTCACGGATTGAAAACTGTAACAACAAACTTGCGGAAAGTGCGGGACTTTCCGAAGGTGTAGATGTTGTTGACCATTCACGAAATGTTGAAGTCAGGCAAACAGAATCGACTGAGATGAAAATCTCGTGTGTTCAAGATTTGACTTCATTGCAAAAACCTGAATCTTTCGGCAAGGTAGCATTGCCAATAATTGATTCCGATAGAGAATCGAAGTATACTGATGATTGGTTAGCAGATCAAAACAGGTATTAAAAATATATTTCCGGTACAAATTACATTGAAGATTAATCCATAGCATAATATGCCATCAATTTATTTTAGATCATTAAAATATTTTGATCCTCCTAAGATGTCGGAAATCTGTCAAGTACCACCAACTTGCGAGTTAGGAACTTCGCCAGTTAGTAGAGAACCATTTTTTCTAAATGAGGCACTTCATCGCTCGATTTGTGGTAAAATATATTTACGATTTGCGATTAAATATAACAATCGATCAAACATATATATATATAAATACTATAGCACTTATTAAAAGAACTCAATGCATGTACATATTAAGAATTCATTCTATAACTTGTTGAAATTTGAAATTAATGCCAAAAATTGATTTATTTGATAATTTAGCTTTATTCTGAAAAGATCTTTATAATTGATAATAATTACATAATTTAATTATAATTTTTAGTGAATGTTTTTGATTATAAATTCTCTTAACTTCTCATCACCGTAATTTCTTCATTCCAAAGTTCCATAGAAAATGATTTAAAACGAATCTCAGTCCGGGGAAAAAGTGACGACGAGTGAAATTCTTCTCTCTATTTACAAGAAATCGTCGACTATGTAAACCGAATATATATCCGACCGCAGCTTCCACGTCCCTTCCCATCCCATGCATTTATTCGCTCTTGGATTCTATCCCGGTTGGTCGGGTAATCGTCTAGAGTGTAGAAGGTACCCAACTATTCGCGTACGTGACTAGTTAAACCGCGGACGTTCCATTTGGCAGATACGATCGAGGGGTCCTGTAGGAACGGCGCCGTTGTCCGAGAATCCGATCGATCCGACCAATCGAGGCTGATCTTCAGCCGTAGCTTATCGAACGAGAGCGAGCCATTTGACGATCCGTACGAGTCGAAGGAGTTGCGTGCACATTCCGACGTAACGAACAAGTTAATCAGAACGATATCGGAGGAATCACTGCCGCAGGAGATGCTGGAGGAAGTCGACGAAGAGATCGTCGATTTCTTCGATGAAAAGTTGGCCAAGGATGCGACGAACAAATTGAAGAAAGATTACCAGGATCAGCGGGTAAAGACGCCACCACCGAGTCCGGAGCCAAAGATCAAAGCCCAGATTCTAGACAATGATCATTCGACCTTGCTCAAAGTTTTAAATGATGAGGTAGCCAACGAAAGTAATCTCAGTTCGATGACGCCGAGCCTCACCGAGTTGGAAGTAGCACTTTCGGATATGTTGGAGAAGGAAGATCAGTCTGACGAAATCACAAAGCGAGAGAACACAGACGAGGAATGTAAACAAACTTCTGCGGAGAAGCTTCTCGAGCCGGAAATTGTTCCTGTAGAGAAACACAATGTGATCGACAGAAATGTGTCAGATCAATGTTCAATTAACGATGGCATTCTAGTCGATAATACGCCTGAGAATAAGACAGATCGGTTATCCGTGTCTTTAGAACAGTCCCTTGGAGATTCGACGTCGACACCGAAGAAAAGAAAAGTGTCCTTCTGCACCTGGGAAGAAAAGGTCATGATGGACGTTGATTTGAAAAATGACGAGGAATCGCCATGTAATGAAACGGAACAAAATTTAGATGAGACGACAAGTTCTGATTTCAAGGATTCTGTCGTTAAATCGGAATTAAAATCAAGCTCCGATTTTTTCGGAAGCATCGCGACTGATATGAAGGACGGTGTAAGTTCTGTGGGAGAAGCACCCGCGAAACCTAATAGATTGTTTCAAAATTTGGAAAACCTAGCGGAGGATTTAGAGCAAATTCCTACACCGCCACGAAGAAAGAACAAAAGTTTAGGTGTTACGAAGGAGTCAATCAGGACTATAGACGAGTATCACGAAAATCCTGATCCTGGTCTTAATGACAGACTTATTTAATAATTTCGGATTACGTGATCTTGCAATCTTTCCGCTGTTATGTGATTGTTGCGCAATAATATGATCCTACAATTTTTGTGCCACATAAATTGTTAATATGTTTAATACATTAATTCACGCGATCGCTATAAGCTAATAACCATGTAATTATTAATAAAAAATAAAGATAAAAGTATAACATACATTGCTATTCTTCATATTTTATTCATATGTATTTTTACACAAGCTGTCACAAAATTATAGATATGAAAATTTGAAGATTGCGTTGGAAGATAAACATTTAAATACAGTCATATTTTTCTTTTCAATAACTAAATGAATCATTACTCGCGAATTAACTTCTATATAAAGTGCAAATTTTTATTTTTAATTTAATATGTAAGAAATTTTATTATAGCAAAAGTTTTACATATTATTTAACTATTTAATATCTAATATTAAAGAAATAATAATATTTAGAAGGAAAAGATTTTAACTTAATGTTTAATTTTGTTAAAAATTAGTAAAGAAACTTTAAATTCGTCTAATTCGGAAGAAAACAATTTATAACATTATCTTTTAACGCATAAAAATTATGCGCACAATGTGACAAAGGTAAATAAAGTTCCAAAAATAAGCAATAGTCTCTATCTGATAAAAATCAAATAATAAAATGCGACATTCTCTCATAAGCAATGCTTTTATTTTTCTTTGTAGGAAAACTTGGGTTTGAAAAATATTTGTCATGTAGTGCAAAAGAAATTGAGTTGTTCCATTAGATCACATCGAGAGGCAAATATTTTCCCATATGATCGTAATAGGGAAAACAAACAATCAGATCTCTGCAAATTTTTAGTAAATATACATGCTTTATATTGTATATACATGCTATATGATGTAACATATTTTCCTCAATCATTCTTCTACATACAATAATTAAGTACATTCGGATAATCTTCGAAGAAAAATCTTCGTTTCTAATAAACTTGTCTCTCTCATCGAGTTTTTCCAATGAATTCATTACGTAAGAAATTACATAAAATCGATTATTATTACTCCGAGATATCCTAATCAAATATTTTTATAAAAATCTTTTTGCTTTTATTTACTTTTTTATTTCTTCATTTTTTGCATTGATTTGAATGTTTAATTTTTGCTTCAATTTTGCTGTTGATTTTGTCTAGCGGATGTAGATATCTCAATTTTCGTATCGTATTCCCTCATATTCTCGTACTAAAGCAATATAAGCACTTAAATCGTTTATTGTTAGATGAATAGAGAGAAATATTTTAATATTAACAAAGTTACTACAACTCTTAGAAGAAATTTATCATAACACCATCGTGCTGATTCGATAAAAGTTGTCAGTTTTTAATCTTCATGGTCGGCATGCACAGCATAATCCGCAAGGAGTTATTAAAGAAAAAAAAAAAAAACAAGAAAATACGGACCTCGCAGAAGAAGTGAAAGACAAAGTTTCTCATTATAGAAAAGCTTTGTGCGAAGACTTCACTCGTATACCCTTAATCTTATACATGTTTGAGGAATTAAGTTCGTGTAATATATTGTACGTATAACGACGAGCTATACCGTTACATTTTGTTACAACAAATCCAATAAAATTGTCATCGTATAAGCGTTGTATGCAGACATAAAATTTAGCAAAAGTACAATCAAGAATTATGATGATTCTTCTCATTGTATCCCAAAAATCTAAAGACATCAAATTAATTGTTTTTTATGTAATAATAAAAAAATATTTGATACATTTTGTTTTGAATGTATCCTCTCTATTTCCTTCGTCATATTTTATTCTAAAGATACGTAATGATAGTAAGTAAAAATATTAGTGTAGTAAATAAAACAGTAAAATAGACATATTGAGCTTCTCTGTTGTTATTAGTGTTGTTACACTTCTGATAATAGTTGAAGCTTCCTTTAATATCGAAGAAACTCTATCTACACAGAAGATTGATTTTTCGTCCGCGTCATTATTTCATCGGTCGCCTGTCGAACCGTGTTTAAGGCGTACCGTTCTCCTTTCCGCTACGAGTAGATATCCGCTTACTCATTACCTTTTTAATTATCTCTGGCCGACGGAGCCCTTCTATCGTAGTGCGTTTAACGGACCGTCCTTAATCGTTTTAAGGGCTCGTAATGTTACCAAGAACAGGAAAAGCCTTTTAGATGATGATACAAGATTGTGTGCGTAATGTTCAGTTCTACAAAGCAGTTTTTAATGATATAATTTGTATACGTTATCAATTGGTAATTGGTGAATGCTTGATAAACATTTTGATAAAGGAGATAATCTGCAAACGCTAATTATTTAAAATTTTCAAATAACTTTTATCACTATTAATATGTATCTTTAAATATTCGTCTAATATTCGAACAATTGGCTCGCAAATATTTCGTGTGAAATTTTCGATAACAGTACATTGAAAATTATTACGAATTCATAAAAAAAAAGAAAAGTAAATAAAAAAAAAAAAGAAATTTTTTGGATTGGGAATTATTGATAAATCGAACAAAAGTCAAATGTCGTAATCTGTACTTTCAGGAATTCTGTACCACGAGTGGTTTGAAAAGTTTAAAGCTTCCGAGAGACGACAAATCTGGGAAAACTGTGGTCCGATCGCTCTTCGTGTTCCTGAGTATTCCCGATGCGGTTTGAAATTAGCACGAACGGATTATAAGATCTGGCTCTGTTCGTGACACTTCTATTAGTGGAAAGCGTGGAAAGAAGAAAATTCAGCTTGCTTCTCTCTCTTTCTCCTCCTCTCTCTATTACTCTTCTTTCATCACAAAGTCAGTACGCGTGCGACCCGTTCGCTTCTGACGTGATGCATCTTATAAGAACTCATTTTCGTTGAATTTCTGTAGATTCCTGAGATAACGCAACAAGCCACTAACCTAATTTATTTTTGCATTAGGAATGAATAAAGAATGTATAGCGAGGAAATTATGTAGCTATATGTAAAGGCAAAAAGTCTTGGCAGTTTGTAATGGAAGATTCTTATGTATCGAGCAAAAAATGATTGCAGAGATTAAAATATTATGCGTTCAAAATTAATGGTAGGTTGATCAAAAGAATAGTAAAAATCTAATCGGAGCAATTTATGTAAATGGTACAACGAGAAAGCTGCTCTCGGAAATTTAGAAGCCGTCGTAAAGTATTTTTTGTAGCGGCTTACGACGAATGCACAACCAACACGATACGCGCCAAAGTCAATTGCCACGATAAGGACGAGACAATGTGACACTTTGTCGAAAGGACTTAAGCTTAATCTCCAACGAGGTAAGTCCGTCTTAGAATGTACTTAGAGTAAGGTGGTCCAAGTAGAGACTCTCCAAGTAGATATCTCTTCCGAGGTATCTGGTATCGCAACACTTCTCCATGCAATAGCCCATGTTTCTGAGTATACCAAAACAATGGCAGATGGCCATAAAGTTTACAATTTTTAATTTTACTGATCGATATGCAAAGCATGATCCATAAGAAAAAGAAGAAAAGACGAAAAATACGGAAAATCGCGGAAAAAGTTAGATATAAAGTTTCTCGTTATTTAATGTTCAAAAAGTAACATTATTCGATATTACAACCGAATAATCGTCGGAACAGTATATTGAAAATCTGTTATTAGAATTCACATAGGACTTTTAAACTAGAATTAGATTCATTATAATCAAGAGCACGGATTTAAAGTATTAAAACTTGGCGAATGGGAATCTTCAGAACCTGAGCGAATGTTCCTCCCACCTTCCAGTTATCACGACGTGCTCGATAGGACTTCGAATCTTCGTGTGGTATCTTCTACCGAGGTATACGTCGCGCATAAACGGGGTTAAGCGAGCAGCACAAGTCAGCTTTAAGCAGCCGGATTTATGGACTCCGACAACTATTTAGATGGGTGGAATGGGGAAAGAGAGAACCTCGGTGCGATCTCTCAGTTTTTGTCGATCCTTCTACTTGGCGCGTATATACTTGGTCCGCGAAGATGGACGGGGATATCCGCGGCCTCGGAAAATATCTGGCACGGAGGGCGACGGAATTCGCTCGATGGAGCTCCGGTCGGCGCGACGCCGGAGCGGCATTTCGGCTTAATTAGTTTTTCGTCCGCGGATAATCCGCGGCCGCAGCGATTTGTCATCCGGGCCCCGAAGTTTACGCTCACGGAGAATTAAGGTACGGGAACCTGGAGGAGAAAGGGGAGAGAGAGCAAGAAGAGCGAGAGAGGACGTGGTGTTTCCGGCCAACGAGATTAGGGTGATATTTAAACGAGGAGGAGTAGTCCCGGCACCCCCGAGGCTTCTGTCGTAAGACCCGACTCAAGGGAAGTTCGCGGAGGATTCGTTTTATCGTTCGCCGTATAATTTGAGGATGTCGCCGGCCAAGAAACTACTGAAGTGGCTTAAATCTTTAGGCCGCGTGTTGGATCCCCGATAAGGGAACTTTTGGGTTCCTGTTTACCGGTCACTCCACTAGAATGTTATTTCGTTCATCTGTTCTATCCCGATGATATATTACCCCATATTATCCTGAATGTAATTTAGAGACAAAACAGCCACTCAATTAATCTCCAACTAACAATAAATGGCGATCCATTGAATAATATGATCTGGATTTAATTAATCGCTATAATTGTACGCGTGCAATTGCTATTGTAATTGCTCGATTATCGAAATTTGCAATAGATTGAAGATGCTGGACGATGAGAAATAATGTGATATTATATGTAATACTCATTTTGCTAGTTTATTGAGCAAATAGCAAATGTCTAGGATTCTAGACAAGCTAAATTACTTTAATAAGCATTTGATGATATAATATACATCATACGAATCATATATAAAGACTTGATGTAAGCCTCCTACATATTGGAGAAAAAGAAAAGCGCAAATGCGCCTTTAGTATCTTCCAAGTATTAAACTGCTCGTAAAAGAGCTTTTACGCGATCAGACTTTCGCAATGAAACTTTAGGTCTCGGAATCGATCGAGCCACGCGGCTGTAAAGGGTCCTCGTAAAGTTTTCTTCAAATAATTTCGTAAAACAGTAGACCCTTTTTTTCATAAGAGAATCTTGTTTTATGAGAGCAAAAAGCTCGGCGAAGAACAAAGTTCATTTCGACATATCAATCAAAATTTTGGTGAAAAGTTTTTTTTTTACATAATTCTCAAATAATTAGCAACTA